TGCTGGCGTGATAGTCAATTTCTTGTGGTAGTCAATTTCCTGAAATTTGATGGTGCTCCCTTAAACCTTACCTGCGATCCGAAACTCTTAGAATTACATGTCAATTGCAACTCATTTCAAATGGAGATGTGTCTTTCTATTCGTGTTGCTTTGTTTGCTTTATTTTTTTTCCTGATATTGGGTAGTAGTTCTAGTTTTAAAGAATAGTGACATCTAATTAAGGAAATGGATACTGCCTCCTGATCATAAGCACTTGTATCGCCAAAAGTTTGGATTGCCAAATTTGTAGTACTCTTTTAATTTTGCTTTAGTTGTTTCTTCCTATGTAATTTTTTGTTGTCTTTTTTGTTTAATTATTGGATACCAAATTTATGTGAGCTTTCTGCTTGAAATTTTGCTTTGGACATAAAGTGTTCTAAAGGTGGAATACTTGGTACATGAGATCTTGTCCTGTGTAGACAAAGTATAACAAAAATGAGAATTAAGGTTTTACAAGCTAATCAGGTTCATTCTGAAGTATGTGTTGAATATAAAGGTTCATCACCCCTCTTCTGGCTAAACCATCTGCTCCAAAATCCGAACATGGTTGAAGTATACACCAGCAGAGCATGCTTAATCTAACGCATAATCAAGGAGCACATTCTATCTGCCACTACGATGTCTGCTCCTCCAAACAAAGTTGTTTATCGAATTACATTGAACTCTATAGCTTAGGAATTAACAAAGATGGTGGCCTTTTTTGGGCCACATTAGCTTCTGAACAGCAATTGTGATCTGCATGCCTGCAGATTTAAGCACTGTGTATTTGTGGTTTAGATGTTGTCAACTCTTGGGATATTAGTAGTTCTAGCGTAGTTGGATGTCTGTATGTTGTTATTTGGGCAGCCTGAAAAGTGTCTCAACTATTGGTCTGGTGTGATGCATTCTGGACCATCCAACCCCGCTTCCAGCCCAGTATTCATCGTTTACATTGTATATTTGGTTTCCGATTTCAAGGGAAACAATGTTGAACTTATATTTACTAATCATCCTCCCTTTCCATCAAAAGGATTGAAGTCATGGAGTAGAAATTTTTAGTATAAAACTCTTGTGTCTATAATATTGAAACTTATTTTCTTCTTGTGCATTAAGGATTCAATAGATCGTCTTCTGGTTGTTATTTTGTGATGAGTTTTATGGTGCTTGGCGGTGTTGTTCTTGGAGGGAGTATCCTTCCTTTTGCTCCATCTATTCCCTTTCTCCTTTTTCTTTTCCTCTTCAACAGGGTTTGGTGGCGTTTCTTTTTTCTTCTTGTTTTTTGGGGGGTGATGGTGGTGGTGGTGGACCTCTTCCCAGTCCAGTTGATGGACCCACCAAGTCTGTAGGTTATAATATCTTTGCATATTTGGAAGGATTTTTTGTGTGATGGGTTCATTGAACAAATGTTTGTTTCGTTTCGTTCAAAACCAACAAAACGTTTCCATTTTCATTAGATATGAAAGAAAGCACAAGGATAATTTTAGAGTAAGTTACCTTCGAACTTGAAAACATATTTTGTTCCTAACAAAATCAGCCAACAAATGTCATTTGCTAATATCAAGTGCAAAGGCTTCAGACAAGAAATTGTAAAACCATGGGCCTGTTTGGTTAATGTCTTTAAAAACAGGATTGGAAAACAATTTTTAAAAAGAGTTTTAAGAAAGTATTTTTTGATATTTTTATATTACAAAACCTGTTGGGTTATATGGTTTTGAAAATAGTTTTAAAGAACAGAAAATAAAAAAAAACCTGTTTGGGCAATGATCTATAAAACCAATTTTTAACTTATCATTTTTGACAAAAAAAAAAAAATTTATCACTACAAAATTCTTCCCTCTCTAGTCAGGCTCACGTCTAGAGCATTCTTTCTCTCTCTCTATTATCTTCTCCAACAGCAAAAATATACATACCCACACAACAAACACACCCACACATACAACAAACACACACACACAGCCACAGCGCAAACACACAGCCGCAACGCACAATACACACACACATAGATTTGAACACACATATATATATATATATATATATATATATATATATATATATATATATATATAACACAGATCTGTATATGTACAGATCTGCTACAGAGAGAGAGGGAAAATGGGTTGCGTGAGAGAGAGGGGAAAAGAATTACGTGAGAGAGAGAAGGCTACGACGAGAGCAGTGGAGAAGAAGAGAGAGCTCAGTGAACCTCGATTACAGTCACCATTTGTTTGTCTTCAACGAAATTCGAAGGGGAGACCTCATTAATTTGCAGATGAGGTTATTCCCGTGTTTTCATTTCAAAAAATAGAGAATAAAAAAACTAACCAAACAACATCTCTATTGTTTTTAGAGATTTGAGAACAAAAAATAATTTTGTAAACACAAACCAATAGGCTCCATATTTCATGTTGGTCCCATAAACGGTAATTTTGGCATTTTTTGGTACTTGTATTAATATAAGATGCTTAGATTCAAAGTACGGACCTCATTTTTTTTAATTTATTTCTTTTTTCAATAATTGAGTGAATCAGAACTAAGATTTATACATTGACTCTCCTAATCGTTTTTATGTACTATTTCTTATATACTCTTAACAAGTTTCATTTTATTGGAAGTAATGTNCAACAAATGTCATTTGCTAATATCAAGTGCAAAGGCTTCAGACAAGAAATTGTAAAACCATGGGCCTGTTTGGTTAATGTCTTTAAAAACAGGATTGGAAAACAATTTTTAAAAAGAGTTTTAAGAAAGTATTTTTTGATATTTTTATATTACAAAACCTGTTGGGTTATATGGTTTTGAAAATAGTTTTAAAGAACAGAAAATAAAAAAAAACCTGTTTGGGCAATGATCTATAAAACCAATTTTTAACTTATCATTTTTGACAAAAAAAAAAAAATTTATCACTACAAAATTCTTCCCTCTCTAGTCAGGCTCACGTCTAGAGCATTCTTTCTCTCTCTCTATTATCTTCTCCAACAGCAAAAATATACATACCCACACAACAAACACACCCACACATACAACAAACACACACACACAGCCACAGCGCAAACACACAGCCGCAACGCACAATACACACACACATAGATTTGAACACACATATATATATATATATATATATATATATATATATATATATATATATATATAACACAGATCTGTATATGTACAGATCTGCTACAGAGAGAGAGGGAAAATGGGTTGCGTGAGAGAGAGGGGAAAAGAATTACGTGAGAGAGAGAAGGCTACGACGAGAGCAGTGGAGAAGAAGAGAGAGCTCAGTGAACCTCGATTACAGTCACCATTTGTTTGTCTTCAACGAAATTCGAAGGGGAGACCTCATTAATTTGCAGATGAGGTTATTCCCGTGTTTTCATTTCAAAAAATAGAGAATAAAAAAACTAACCAAACAACATCTCTATTGTTTTTAGAGATTTGAGAACAAAAAATAATTTTGTAAACACAAACCAATAGGCTCCATATTTCATGTTGGTCCCATAAACGGTAATTTTGGCATTTTTTGGTACTTGTATTAATATAAGATGCTTAGATTCAAAGTACGGACCTCATTTTTTTTAATTTATTTCTTTTTTCAATAATTGAGTGAATCAGAACTAAGATTTATACATTGACTCTCCTAATCGTTTTTATGTACTATTTCTTATATACTCTTAACAAGTTTCATTTTATTGGAAGTAATGTAATGATGACTTGTATGATGCAAAGTTAAAATGGAGCAGTTTAAGACCATCTCAATTCCATGTAATACAAAAAAAATGTGAAATTCGTCCTTAAGTAATTAATAACTAAGTATAAAATCAAATAAAAACAAACATGTATCTAATTGTTCCTTAGACTGCACGAACAATCTCATCATTCAATAAACAGTGGTGGACATTAGCCCAATTTAGAACAAAGGAAGGAACAAATGATGTAACATGTTGCCATTCTATACGAATTCTGAATAATTGGAGATCTAACCGAAATCTACTTTGAGAGAGAAAAAAAAAGGTAGATTTATTTTTTCAATAAAAATAAAATGTTTTATTTTTCCTTATGACTAAAAAAAAAGAGAAAAGCAAAATATTAAATATAGGATAAGTATATATATCCGCCGAACAAATATGAATATATGATTGTTAAAACCATAAAAAAGAACTTGAGTAAAGATGAAATTTTTTTTTCCAAACGTTTCGATTCATTTCTAAAAGTTTACAACATTTTTGTTATGCTTCCAAGACATTTCTTAATTTTGTATAACTGAAACACTTGAAAACGGCTCTTCTGCTCAGAAACGAAATATTCCAAATGTTCCTAGAAATTATTGCTCTCATTGGACCATTTGTATCTATATGCATTAGGTTCCTGATTCATGGATCTCTCGGTTCGAGAAATAAAAATAAGAGGATCGAACCATTTCTTCTGACTCTTTTTCAAATTTGATAAATGTTGGTTGATCGTATATTTCATTATAATTCTATGATTCAGAGTATCCTTTCTTATTTGATTCCTTTGAATTCCACTGAAACAAAATTTTGAACCTTGGATGGTTTGTGGAGGGGGCTGCAGATTACAAATTTATTGACAGATTTATTTAATTTCTGCAGGTGCCTTTGTTCCTAGGTGTTTACGGTATTGATCTTTTATTTGTTAAACTAGAGTGCTTGACATCTAGATTCTAATCTTTTCCAAATGCTTTTTAAGGTGCCTTCATTTCTTGGATTGCCATGAATTTACAAGCGGAAACCTCCCATCAATTAATTTGTTCAGGGGGGGATAAAACTAATCCCAAAATGGTGTTGCCTGTCTAGAAAAGTGGAAGAGATAGGTAACTGTCTGGTTCCGCATTGCCCAACAGCTAGAAACTTGTGGACCGTGCTTTTCCTCCATGTGGAGTTCAGTGGCAGTTCCTGACTAAGTTATAGCAACTTTTGCTTGTTGGCGTGGGGTTAGCCTGATTAATATGATGAGTGTTTGTAAATATGACTTCTGCAGGCCCATTCTGGTGTTACCTGTCTAGAAAAGCAGAAGAGACAGGTAACCATCTGGTTCCGTATTGCCCAACAGCTAGAAACTTGTGGACTGAACTTTTGCTTGTTGGCATGGGGTTTGCCTTATTAATATGATGAGAGTGCTTGTAAATATGACTTCTGCAGGCCTGTTCTGGTACTGATACTGCTAGAGGAATAGTATATTGGTCAATTATGTGGTGGCCAATTTCATCTTGTTGGCATGCTGTTCAAAGATACGTGGTGGTATAAGGTTCTCATTTTCCTTTGATTAAGAGAGGATGAGACACCGAATAGTTGGGAAGAGCGGGAGGAAAAGGGAAGATGTTATCAATGATTAAGAAAAATCTTAGTGAATGTAAGAATTTTAAATGAAATACAGAACAGCAAATATATTATAGAATTATCGCACTGAAGTTTCAGGTATATCAAATTTTGAAACATGTCTATGAGGTTAGCAAAACTTATCTAGTTATAGGTGTGGACTACGATGAGTATACATCATGTCATGCTAAGCCTGGTTAAAGAACAATCAGTGCACTTGGATTTGGGGATATGATGGTATTCTACAATCTTGTCTTCTGAAGAGTTCCTTGTATTCACTTCTCTTCTTTACTGCCCAAAAAAAACAAAAAACTGTTTGTAGTCGTGTTTTCCTGCACTTTTTGGTATCTTAGTTTTCTCTACTGTAGAGTATGAATGTGTTTTTCACCTGCGAGGCTTCATCAGTTCATCCTCTGCCTTTTGCATTTAGTTGCACTTGTTCATTGTACAGTACTGAATTCATGTAAGTGGTAATTGTGCTAATATTTGGTTGAATGTAGTCGCATCTATTAGAGCTACTAGTCTTTGTTTTGTTTGGAGATATATATATCATCTCCATTGTTGCTTACAAGTTACAGCCCAACATTACCACTGTTCCATTTTTCACCCCGAAACAAAGGAAGGAAGCCTTTTCTATAAAGTCTTTTATCACTATTTTCACCGGTGAGGTTTCTTATACAGTGTTTCGCTTCCTCATTGTACTGTACTTAATTCAACTGGTGGATTATTATATTTCTAAGTGGTTGAATATAGTTGGTATTATTAATCATCATTTGTGGCACAATTTTTCATACTGTGTCTCATTCATAATTTGTTTATAGCTGAGGGGAACAAATCTGTTGCTGCTTCTTGGGGATCCCCTTCAGTGCACGAACAAATGAGGAAAACTGCAAAACAGTCATCACAGAAGAAAGATGCTCCTCCAGTGACATCTTCTACAGCAGCTTCTGAGAAGAAAGGAGGTGATCGGACGCTGGAGAAAGAGAGGAAAAAAGATGTGCCTCCTCCTCGCTTGCAATTTGATGATAAGAACCGGGTGGAAAAGGCTAAAAGACGTGCGGTAGTCAAACAAACTGAAGCTAGAAACAGAGTCGAATTGTTTCGGCATTTACCTCAATATGAACATGGAACCCAGCTTCCTGATCTTGAGTCAAAGTTTTTCCAACTTGATGCTGTCCATCCTTCTGTTTACAGGGTAAAGTTTGTCTATAAGATCAGTTGATCATCATTTTTCTATTATATTTATTCTTGTCATCTTCTTCCAAGCTTCGACTTGATCAGGTGATATATGAGATTTCGATTTTAAATGATATAAGTAGTGGATTTATACATTATCACACTAATTCCATGTTATCATGCAGACATGCTGGCATCTTGGATATTGATCCAAGCTGAAAAGCATGTATCATAATTTTAGAATGCTGTACTGCAATATGGGGCACATTTGCATCCTTAACACACATTGTGCTTATGCTAGTGTTCTCGTAACCATACTTGAAGTCTGGGCTATTGTCAGACTCTCATTGATTTAGGTGGAAATGGATGTGTATTGGTGACACCTTGCACCAAGGCACTTTATGACTTTGAAGCAGGGTGAAGTAGCTAATGGTGTTCAACAAAAGTTCCAGGCACTATGCTCCAGACTCTAGTCATTATGCTTCCTCGGTTCAGCTGATGTCCGCTCATGTCACTTTGGAAATCCTTCTAAGAGAATATATAGGGGAATGATGATAGTTGACGAGCACCAAGGACCTAGCAAGCCTTCTGTCCCCAAGCCTTGGCAACGCTGAGGTCCTTCTCACATGTGAGGCAAGGTGGAGAAGGGAATGCAAGAAAATGGTGGGCCTAGAAAAGTAGTGGGGACTCGTAGCGAATGATCAAAATTTTGTTTCGGTGCATTGTTTCAGTTACCTAAAAAACAGAAATGTTTTGACATGTTTCAGAAAAGTTTCGATCCTTTTCAAAAACAGAATGAAAAAAAATAAAAAATTTAAGCATTTTTTTCTTTAAAATATTGGTTGAAATATACCAAAATATCTTGAAATACCTTGAAATATTCTGAAATAATTATACAAATGCATTGCAATATAATAAAATATTTCGAAATATTAAGGAACACCTCGAAGTATTAGAATTTGGTTCAATCACTGATTTATTTCGGTCTCTTTAGAATATTTTGATTCGTTTTAGTTTCAAAACGATATTTTGATTCTTACTCGTAGCTATGAAAAACTACACGGTTGAGGATGGTAGTATGTAGTTGGCACAATTAAGGCGATGTTGGTGCATGACTTTGCAAAGTATGGCTTGAGCTTAGATCAACATGCTTGATTGGTTCGTGGGCAAGCTTGGTTACGGATTTGCTGACATATGGTTGGGACAACTTTGTTCAAAGTATGGAATCTAGCAATTGAAAGCAGTCGTTGTGCGTGGCTTGATCATGGGAATCAATTGAGGGAGGTTACCAGACATGACCTGATCATGGGCGAGCTGTTGGGGGTAGTTACCATGTCATGTGTTGAGTTGGAGAAACTGCCATCCACCTGTCAAGCAAAGATGTAGCCTGACATGATAGTTGTTGCTAGAAACTGTCATGCCCATGCAACTGACTAGTTAGTTGGCTAGTAAACCCTAGGCAATTAGGGGTGTCATCTACCATATTCCTTGTATAAGTAGGGAATGTTGGGACAATCTGTAGACAGAGTCAATGTTAGAGTGTGTTTTTCTAGTACCTTGTGTATAGCTTGTGCATGTGTGTGTGTGTCCCTTTACGAGTTTGAGTGGTTGGTTGCTAAGGCAACGCTTTCAGGGGTAGCCTCCTTTGTGGAAAAAGTTGCAAAGAGTGAGTTACTCGGTAATAGTTTGGTATCCTAGTGTGGTTTTGAAGAAAAAATCAATTGATGGTTGGTGGAACCAATGTTGATTTGAGGAAAAATGGTGGCACGTTTGGAGGATTTTGTTGGTTCCCCACAAGCAGTGGATGATATTGCCCTCTCTATGTAGCTCGGAGTTATTGTACCAAAGGTTCGAAGAAATGCGAGTGTTCCCAGAACAACTCCAAAAGGCTGAACTTGATCTTTTTAACAAGGCAAACACCAAGATCACTGACGTTCTTGCCATGTTTCTTCAGTGACCGATGGTTGGGAGAAGATTCATGGCCTTGAGAGAGATATGTTGCTGTTGAAGAAGGTAATGTAGAATTCCACCCCGAGTTCTGGTAATGAGTGCATGTAGAAAGCCAAGGTCCCTAACCCTTAGGCTTTCTCTAGTAGTTGCAATGCCAAAGGAATCAAGAATTTGTTATGGTACATTGGGCACTATTTCAAGGCAGTCCACACCCTAGATGTTGAGAAGGTTAGATCTCGCAAGCATGTATTTGATCGATAATGTAAAGCTGTGGTGGCGCATACGTTTAGAGGACAAGTATCGTCCTCAAATCACTAGCTGGGAGGCATTATCCCCTGAAGGAGCAGTTCCTTCCAAGCAAAACGGCTTGGCAAGCCCGTGTTGCTTTGCAAAACTCAAGCGTACAAGCACGATTTGAGAAAAAGTGAAGCAATTCTCGTGCCTCATGCTTGACATCAAAAACATGTTGGAGGAAGACAAGCTGTTTAACTTTATGTTTGGACTCCAAACTTGGGCGTAAGTAGAACTACGTTGGCAATGGATAAAGGATTTACTTGCTATAATGGCTACAACAGATGCTTTAGTAGACTACAAAACACGGGCCAACCATTCCAACGAGGAGACTGAAGGGAAGACCAAGTTCTACAAGAAGAATCATAAGAAGAATAAGGCTGACAAGTCCATCAGTATGGAGAAACAAAGTGATAAGCCCTCTGCTTCAAAAAAGAGAAACTCGGTGCCCTAGTAACCGAGGAAGTTGATCATGGAAACAAGTTTACACGAGTTAATCTCTGGCAACTCCTCAATGTAATTCGTAATAAAGAGCTTGTGGCCAAGAGGGGATTAATGTTTGTACAAATTCAGATGAACAATATTTCCTTCTAGGTGATGGTTGATACAGGTGCAACTCATAATTTTATTTTTGATTGGGAAGTGGAGTGTCTTGATGCGGCATTGACAAAGAATTTCAGCCAAATCAAGATTGTTAGCAAAACTAGTAGACAAAAGATGTCCCACTACAAGTTGGTGATTTGCAAGGACAATGTGATTTTATAGCAGTTCCTCTTGATGATTTCCAGGTGATCCTCAAATTGATATTCTTTATAAAGGCTAAAGTTTATGCGATGGCACACTTGCATGGATTGTTTGTGATGGATATGTCCGGTCCTTGTTTTGTACCCCTCATTAAAGTCAAGAATTCATAGTTCAAGGTCGCGGTGTTGGCCATCGAGTTGGAGAGTACTGATACATATCGGTTGCAACATTATGGCTCGGTATTGATCGATACAGAAAAAAATGCTTGGTAGAAGGCTCAAAAATTTTAAAAAAAACATGAAAATTTCATAAAAATATAAATAATAACATGCATGTATCATATGCTTAGAATACATCATCTAAAACATTATATATGGTGAATATAGAATATAACGGCGTAACCGAATTTGTTTATCATCATTAACATTTAGTTTTTAAATTTTTTATATTTAAAAAATGCGAAAAAGTTGATAGGTTAACATCTTAGTATTTAAATTTTTTGATATCTAAAAATGAAAAATATTTAAATATTTATCCATATTGTAATTCAACATTTAGTTAAATAAAAATTTAAGAATGCAATGGTCCAATTATATAACACAGAAAATTTAACTATTATAATATAAATATTAAAATATATTTACCTGACTAAAAACTGCCCATTAAAATTTTTTCAAAACTTAAAAAAAGAATTATGTCTGATCAAAAAAAGAAATGATATAAAAAAAAACTAATCCAAAAATAAAAATAAAAGGAAAGTCCAAGTCATTTAACCACTGACAGAGAGTCAGAGACTCTGTTTGCGTCTAATAGATGCTTTGTCTGTGTTACGTGAGGGAGAGAGAACCAAACGAAGCTGTGATTAGTGGCGCAAGTCCTTTGTTATTGCTTGTGTGAAAAAGATTTCATAGGTTTGCTTTGTAGTTCTAAGGTTGAAAAATTGTAAGGTTTTTGCATCATGCTTCTCTATATTTGTTTTTTGCTTTCTTTCCTCTCATTCATTTTATGCTCGGCTTTGTTTGTGAAGTAGTCTGAAGATTTTATATGGGTCTCATCTTTTATTTTTCCTTTCTCTCTTTTTTTTTGTGGATTTTTCTTATTTATTGGAGAATTTGGGATTTTGAAGAAGATTTCACCATATTGTCTAATTCCGGTTTGACTTGTTCGAGTTGGACCGAGTCGACTCTGAGTTGTACTTATATGATCGATTTATTACCAAGTCAACATCGATTTTGGTGCGACTCGTGATATTTGTGTAACGAGTATCGTTATCTGGTCAGTGGTGGCCGAATTGGATACGACTTGTCCGATACTTTGAACTATACAAGAATTTTGGAGAAATATTGTCTGCCTTGCAAGTTAAAGATGGCCTGTGAATGGGAAAAGACAACATACTTGGTCATATTGATTGAGGATGAGGAGCCCAAAGCTTTGCAAGTTCCTAAATCAGTGCAATTATTATTGGCAAAATTTAAAGATGTGACGCCCAACTAATTGTCAGTGAAATTGCCACTGAGATGGGAGATTGACCATGTAATTAAGTTAATTTCTAGAGCGAAACCTTCTGTTAGGCACCTTATCAGATGTTTCCATTAGAGTTAGCGGAGTTAAGAAGGCAACTTAGTGATCTATTGAAAGTGGGTTTCATCAAACCTTCAAAGGCTTCATACGAAGCCCTTGTCCTATTTCAAAGGAAGAAGGCATTACATGTCGGGGAAACATTCTTTGTACTGACCGATAATGTGGTTATAGACTGCTTTAATTCCATGAAGAAGCTGACACCGAAACAAGTAAGATGAAGGGATTTTCTTGCCTAGTTCCACTTCACTTTGTGGCACAAGTATAGCAATGCAAATCAAGTTGCTCATGCACTCTGTCAAATCATAGTTGTTGATGGGATGGTGGCCTCACTTTGTCAGGTTGCTAAGAGACATAACAAATGATGATCCTGTGACTAGCTTGCTGCAAAAGCAACTCCAGGAGGGTGTGAGCAGACAATTTTGGGTAGTATAGGGAAGGTCGAATGATTGTTTAGTTGGTTAATACATTACGTAGGAATCAGAAAGAAGCTAGCTATTACCTAAGGCCATCAAATGCTAACCGACTACTTACCCCGATGGATCTTATTCCCAACCAACATTAGTTGATCCTAGCTATAATAGAGTCCTTCATTTCTACTGCTTACAAGTTGAGAGATGTTCCATTCCCAATGGCAGAAGTAGGATGCAAGTTGGAAGGACCTGGACAAATATTCTGTCCCAAAGACTGGTGGATTTTGACTATTGTTGTTGAAAGAAACATATGATGCTCTATGGGTAGGGCATCCATGGCAAAAGCAGACCCTTGCTCTATTGGTGAAAAGTTACTATTGGTCACGTATGAAAACAGATGTAGAACTTTATGTGATTTTGA